ATAAAAGGAGAAACAGAATATGATATAGAGAAACGAAATAATTTAAACATTGCTATCGGTTCATCTTTGTACGATAGTTGGAATGTTATATACGACTAACAAGATGAATTGTACATAGCTAATTAAAGCAAATGAAAGATAACGAATATTGTTGTTATTGACTGCTTTTAGCGTAAAATTAGTCTATGAAAAGTTTACAAAATAATTTGCCAACAATAAAGAACTAAAATTAAATTTATTCTTTAACTTCAGATATAATATTGATTTCAAATGAAATAAAAGAAGAAAATTTTACAATATACATTCTTATTCTAACGATTACTAATGCTATAAAATACTATTATTTTGACAATCTCAACCTTCAATAATTAAAATTGGTAATTTATAATTTATAATTTATAATTTATAATTTATAATTTAATTTATTAATTCTCCGAAAATTAATTTTTTTTTCAGCCTGCGTAAATAACAAAGTATATGTATTTTTCATTTTGAAAAGGTTAAATGTACAAATATTATAAAAACTTATATTGTTTATAAGTTATTAGCGAATGGAGTATTATAGCAATGTAATTTTCGCTTGTTATCTTAATTTTATAGTCACCTTGTAACCAGCTAGATCTTGTACAACACATGTGAGCATAGCTTCTCTGCCAACAGGAGCAGTTACATTCATAATTGGCTCCTTGAAATTTGGATCTAAAACAAAAAAAAGAAAAAAATTATAACATGATAATACCTCCATAGCATCCTTATATACATATATATATGCACTTGAATGATTTGTCATGTGCATACGTGCGCGCGCGCGCGTATGCACATTAAGTACTGCCCCTTTTTTCTGGTTACGAGTATGGAATAATGCACTCTTGTGGTTTATGAAAAAGATGATTTAATATATTTTTATTGTGATTTTGTAAGTATATTTAACTTAACCAAATCATAATACAATCATACGATAATAACTACATCTTTTGTAATAATACGCTTTATTAATTCAATTATTTTTCAATTAATTCAATGCTTTTTGCTTAATATCGTCTCTACTAGTATTTAAGAAAAATAATAATAAAAAATTGATAATTAATTACTTTATTAAAGTATATTTATGAAATGTGATTAAATATCTTTATTAAAATTTATTTTTATACTTTGCTGTATGTAGTACCTTATTTTAATGATGTTTATGGATTTTTACAATATTCATGTTTAGATTTTTTTAATAAAAGATTAAAAGATTAATGGACTTGTGACTTCCTATGTTATTTTATATAAAAAAAATTATAAATATTATATAAATACAACAACAAAATTTAAGCAAATAGAGACATAATTTTTTTTAGAACGCATTAAAGTTCATTAAAAAAATATATAAATTTTTTATTTTCTATTAAAAAATACATATGACGCAATTCAAAATACATTTAAAAATAACATACAATTACTAACTTAATTAGTATTAAGTAGGTTATATTATGTATCAATAGTTAAGTTGTAAAGCACATGTTATATTATATTATATATATATATATACAGATTTAATTATATCTATAAAACACACATAATTATATACATAATGTAGAACAATTTTTGAGTCCTTATTAGTTTTGTAAATTTTCAAATCTCAATATTTCAACAATCTCAAAATTTAGTTCTTACGTTAATCTAAATTTTGCAATCTCCTGATTTTTAATCAAACACATTTTCATTAGTGCCACTAAATTTTATTTGGGATTAATTTAAATAAATTTTAACACATCAATAAGGAGAACATATTTTAGCATTCATTTTACATGATTTCTTATGAATAAGATAATTTTTTAATTTAATAATATAAGTAAAAGTAAAAGAAATTAAAATAATTATTCAAATCTTCAGATGATTATAAATAGAAAACATAACCAATTTAATTTAATATTAATTTATACTTCAAATAAAATATTAAATAATAAAGAAATTTAATAATTTTTAAAAATATTTTTTAACTAAAGATTTATTACTACAATCTATATTTAGAATAAAAACGTCTGTACATAAATATAAAAATATAATGAATTCTATAATCAATAATTGTAAGTAAGATTTATATTTAAAAGTATATATATACTTTATATTTATAACTAAAAAATATAATAGAATACAGTATTGTATAAATTCCTAAATATATAAGATAAATTCTTATTATTTTCAAATGAATAATTTCAAACAAATATTTTATATGAGAATATTCAGCGAATATAGCTAGCAATTTTTTGTTAATCAAATTTGTATCAAAATCGTAAAAGTTTGCATTCAAATATAGTTTGAAAATGCAAAGAGCATTCCAATCTATCAATAACATAAAAAATATCTCGTTCAATATCGCGTTCTGCATTAACCTGAGTGTATGCAAAAATTGCAATATTCGATATCTTGCGGCATGCAATCCACAGGTATACGTGTCTCGAAAAATGGCTCTAAGAATACCATTGCTTATCAAAAATATTCATACCCATGTATTTACAAGGATAATGTACTAATATATAATAATATGGGAAAGTACTGCTGAAAGATATCAATTTAACTGATATCAATTTTATTATTTGAATCCTTATTGCCAAGCCATTTTTACGCTCTATCTTCGTTTCTATCGCAGTACGGCAAACTCTGAATAGCTACTTACAAATGTACGCTTGAGGTATTTGAACAAAAACTTTGGAAATATACAAATGTAATTGTTTCATGCGTGCGACAAGAGGAGAAATATAATTAGGCTTTAAAGATGCCGTGATATTAAAGAAAGGGAATGTAGAAATGTAAATGCATGAAGCAATGCGATAGAAAATGACAGCCGTAGCAGTAAGTTCTCAGCAGAGATTTCGCCGTCTCTTTACTTAAACAGAAATTTGAGTGAAAACAATGAAAGATCATGGTTGAATCAAGAATGAGGCATATTTCGTTTGATTCACTCGATACACGAGTAATGCACGCAAGGCCTAGACAGACAAAAAGGCAGGCGATAGGTGCCGATTAATACGTACGTAAGTCATGTAGGTGAGAAGATACTTTATAAATGGAAGCATACGTGAAAATAATTAAATATTATACCTATAGCTACTAACGCCTGTATTAAAGTTTCGGGAGGGGAATTCATATTAACTCGTGGGAATGCGTGAGCATCGGATTGAGGGAGAAAAGGGGTTGTCTAGACGTGGTGTTGAGCTGTACACACGCTCGCTTTTAAATATATTTTTAAATGCTTCTCGACACTTTTGCGTCGAGAGTCTTGTGTCAAAATATAAGCTGCGCGGAGAGATCGACAGCTTTATATGAGAGTCGTAGGCGGGTCATGAAACGCTCCCTCGTGCGATTTCGGTCTGTTGGGGATGAATAAAGGATTATATGGTAAAGCTGTATTAGCGTTTATCGACCGTGAGCATAAAATTTGAAATATATTCCATTATTGTCATTTCAATCGAAAATTAAAGAATGCCTTGTGACTAGAAAGAATTTTATTCCTTAAATTTAATCTTGTTTTTCCATTGTACTTATGGCAGTTACGAAAAATTTCTGCTACAGTTTCTAAGATCTAATAATTAAAATTGATACAATATAATATTCAAAACAGAAATTATTTTTGAAAGTATTATGTTATTTATGATATGTGTCTATTTATCTGCTTTTTAATGTTTCTGAATTAACTTAAATTTGAAGAAAAAAAAGGAAAAAGTATATATATATATCGATTGTAAATCGATATAAATCGAAAAATATATATATCGATTGTATATCGATCAATATCCTATTTTTTTCAAAGAATTGACATGCCATTAAATAATAAATATTAATTTCATTTATATTTAAAACGTATTATCTTTTTATAATATTTAGAATAACATTGTTCACAAATTTTTAAATATTTTATTACAATAAATTTTTTAATAGTCAACTAGAATAATATAATTATATGATGTAACATGGATTTGAGCTTATATTTTATTGTCTAATTAAGCTAAAATATCATTAAAGATTCCATCCAACGAATTAAATTACAAACTAGTATATTAAAAGCGCATTAAAGCATGACTTTGTACTAATCGAAATACAATATTATCAAAATATTTTCGGAAGTGTTAGGAATTTCAAACAGGATATATATATATATATATATATATATATATAAAATATTTAAATATACACATGTATAAACAATTTTTAAGAAAATTATTTCATAAAAAATATTTAAATAGTATGAAACTTGAAATATTATTAACACAAATTAAACTAATTGTTTTTACAAAATAAGATAATAATTTTCTAACCGAATAGGCATTTCTAATGCTGAGAAAAAAAATAATTTCAGATTTCAAAAAAGGCACTTTATATTTTCAAATATCTTAAACAATTTTGATGGATTTCTAATCAATGTTCTTTAAAACAATCCATATATTATAATAAATAAAATGAATATAATGTTAACTGCATAGGTTCATTAAAAGCAAATAATATGAGAAAACTGGCGCTCACTATCTTCACTGCGTTGTGAGGATCCTGAGACAGCAGCTTTCTGCGGCCTTGTTAGCGTTTTAACAGCTTAAGAATTCGTCATCTGCGTCTTGGGGAACGTCCGTTGTATTATTATACATATAAGTGAGAATAATTTAGACGTTTGCTTTTCAAGCTCTAATTATCTTTACATTTATGTGCGTGCGCATGTCTGTGAGCCGAGAGAGGAGGGTGGCTATGTTATTTATTATTATGCGTGACTTTGCGAGAGTTCTTTTCGATGCAAATTATTATTATAACTTTAGCAGGAGAATGTTATAGGGCTGCCTCTATACAATTTCATTTTATATACCACTCGTCTTTTTTATGAAAATTAAACCTTTTCTCGAATAATGGCCACTTGTTTGAAACATTAAAAAAAAATTTTTTATTATTTTAAAGATAATTATATCTGTAATTTAGTAAACTCCAGTTTTTAATCTTTTAAATAAATTAAATCCGCTTTTAATATATATTTGTAACAAAGATATGTAAATGTTTTCTATGGATAATAATTTATTTTTAACGATGCAGCACCTACCGTAAATTCTCATTAATGTTTGGAATATTCAAAAATTTCAAATTTCGAATAAACAATCAAAATTTTATTTGTTTTATTGAGATTTTATATTTTTTAATTATAATATCTGTATTATTTTGTACTCGATAAAGTAGATACTTCAACAGACATGAAAACATTTATTATGTATTGTATGCATTGAAATTCTTCGTAAATGATTCTAATCTCTAGGGTGCAATACTTAAATTAATAATTTGTCGGAAGTTATTAAAACAATTAATAATGTCTGAGAATTGGCTTAAAAGCACTGAATTATTTATTATTTTGAAACAAGAATATTTCAATTTTAAGCTGCTCTAGTAATAACTTAGCACAAAATTTGTAACAAAAAAACTCCAAACAAAAATTAATAAATACGTAAAGAAGGAAAAAATACAACCAGATAGTTAGATGAAATATAAAAAAAAAGTGATAAAGAATAGTGAGGTAGTAAGAAAGAGTTAGAAAGAATCTGTTCCTTCCGTGCATGAAATAGATAATGAGAATAGCTAGCGACATAGGACTCCCTACGGCCTCTTAGATATCCTCACTTCAACTGATTTTATATATCCCGACGTCTTATAGCGGTGGCAACGAATTTTCGCTGAAGGTCCATA